CCTGGGCGTGAGGAGTCTGGGGGTACTGCGTCTGGGGGTGCTACACCTGGGGGCGCTGAGGTGTCTGGTGAGCAGTCTCCCTGGAGCGGCCGTCTTCGTGGTCGCTCTGCTGGTGCCTCGCCGCTGCACTCTCGTAGTCGACTCCCTCTCTCCCCACAGCAGCTGAGTGAGTGGTACATTGGCCGTCAGGGTCGCGCTGCTGGAGCTAGGGGCCCTGCTGCAGGAGGCGCTGGAGCTGGTGACTCTGCTACTAGAGTTGTTTCTGCAGGAGGTTCTGGAGCTGCTAAAGGTGCTGGAGCTAGAGGTTCTGGAGCTGCTGGAGGTGCTGACGCTGGTGGCGCTGGAGCTGGAGGTTCTGGAGCTGCTGAGGGTGCTGGCGCTAGAGGTTCTGGAGCTGCTGCGGGTGCTGGCGCTGAGGGTTCTGAGTCTGCTGTTGAGCGGTTTTCTTGGAGTAGCAGCCTTCGTCCGCGTGTGCCTCTCACCTCACAGCAGCTGCACGACTGGTACGGTCGCCGTCAGGGTCGCGCTTCTGGAGCTCGGGGATCTGCTGCTGGAGGTACTTCTGCTGACGTCACTGGAGCTGGGAGTGGTGCTGGTCCCGGAGGTGCTCGTACTGGAGGTACTGGAGATGCTGGGGCTGGAGGTGCTGAGCCTGAGGGTGCTACTGCTGGAGACCCTGGGTCTGGGGGTGCTGCTACTGGAGACACTGAGGCTGGAGACCCTGGGACTGGAGGTGCCGGTGCTGCTGCTGGTGGAGCTGGTCCTGGAGGAGCTGGCGCTGAGGGTTCTGGAGCTGCTGGAGGTACTGGAGCTGCTGGTGCTGGTGGCACTGCACAGCCGCGCCTGTTCTTCGCTCCACCGTCTCCGTCGTCTCAGCCACCGCCTGACTCTGTGCTTCGCCAGGTTCTTAGTCTCCCTTCGTCTACTGGTCTTCCGTTACAGCCTGGCTCACCGCTGCCTGCTCCTTCTCCTTACACTGAGCAGCCAGGGGGTCTCACTGAGCGTCGTGAGCCTGCGTCGCGTCCTGTCTCGCCTGTCTGTTCCGGTCGTCGTGTTCCTCGTCCGCGTCAGCCGGTTGTCCCCGACACCCACCTCGTAGTCCGTCGTCCTTCCTCTCCTCCGCAGCGTGTTCCTCTGCCGTCTCCTCCTGTGTCTTCTCTGCCTGTCGTTGCGGACCCCGAGTCTGACCGGTTTCGTGCTGAGCACCCTACTGTCACGCGTCTACTAGCCACTGTTGTCACTGACCCGTCGTTTGAGTCTGCTGATGCGTCTGCCTTAGTCGCTGAGCTTGTTGACTTTGCTGCTGCCTGTCGTCTAGACTACGCCGCTAGTCTTGTTGCTGAGTCTGAGTCTGTCTGTCCTCCGTCCGTCGGGGGTGAGTGTGCTCTTGGCACGGACGTCCTTGAGGACAGGCAGGAGGACCTTGAGTGTCTTGCAGCCGCTGCGCCTCATCTCGTGTCCATGCTGCTTGCCCCTGAGGGAGACCCGGATGCTCCAGACATCCCGACCCCGCGCTCTTACGCTGAGGCGATCGCGGGTGAGTACTCCTCTCAGTGGCAGACAGCCATGGATGCAGAGATGGCATCCTGGAAGTCCACAGGCACCTACGTCGACGAGGTTCCCCCTCCTGGGGCGAACATCGTCAGTGGCATGTGGATTTTCAGGGTGAAGCGGCCGCCAGGTTCTTCGCCTGTCTTCAAGGCTCGTTACGTTGCTCGAGGTTTCAGTCAGCGGGAGGGAGTTGACTTCTTCCAGACCTTCTCCCCCACCCCGAAGATGACCACTCTTCGGGTGCTGCTGCACGTTGCCGCTCAGCGTGATTACGAGCTTCACTCTCTTGACTTCAGCACAGCTTTCTTACAGGGCAGCCTGCACGAGGAGATCTGGCTGCGCCGCCCACCTGGCTTCACTGGGTCGTTCCCTCCTGGTACCCAGTGGAGCCTCCGGCGGCCGGTCTACGGTCTCCGCCAGGTGCCGCGTGAGTGGCACGACACACTGATGACGACACTTGCGGCTCTTGGGTTTTCTCCGTCGACTGCTGACCCGTCGCTGTTTCTGCACACCGACACTTCGCTGCCGCCGTTCTACATCCTCGTGTACGTCGACGACTTGGTCTTTGCCACTGCTGACACTGAGGCTCTCGCCCTGGTGAAGTCGGAGCTGCAGAAGAGACACACGTGTACAGACTTGGGTGAGCTGCGCAGTTACCTTGGCTTGCAGATCAACCGGGACAGAGCACGCCGCACCATCATACTGACTCAGTCACACATGGTGCAGCAGGTCCTTCAGCGCTTCGGCTTCACCTGGTCCTCGGCACAGGCCACTCCTCTGGCTACAGGTCACTCGCTCTTAGCTCCACCTTCGGACGAGTCCGTAGAGCCGAGTGGTCCTTACCCAGAGCTAGTGGGTTGCCTCATGTACCTGATGACCTGCACTCGTCCTGACCTTGCGTACCCTCTTGGCCTTCTGACGTGCTACGTGGCTCCTGGTCGGCACCGAAAGGTGCACATGGATGCTGCTAAGAGGGTACTACGCTACTTGTGCAGTACATCGGGCATGGGGCTCGTGCTTGGAGGACGGAGCGACATTGTCCTCACTGGGCACTCAGACGCTTCTTGGGTTGACGACCAGGCTACGCAGCGGTCGTCACAGGGTTACACCTTCAGCCTTGGCTCTGGTTCGGTTTCTTGGCGTTCTACAAGCTCGTCTTCAGTTCTCAGCTCCAGTTGTGAGGCTGAGATATACGCCACGGCCATGGCTGCACAGGAGTTACGCTGGCTCACCTACCTGCTGACCGACTTGGGAGAGAGGCCTCGTTCTCCTCCAGTGCTGTACGTCGACAACAAGGCCGCCATTGCCTTGTGTCAGGAGCACAGACTGGAGCACAGAACGAAGCACATCGCTCTGCGTTACTTCCTGGCTCGAGAGTTGCAGCAGCGTGGTCAGCTTCGTCTTGCTCACGTGGCCACTCGGGCCAACACTGCTGATATATTCACCAAGGCGCTTCCGTCTGGTGATCATCAGCGTTTCTGCACTCTGTTAGGCCTTGTGCCCACGTTTCCTCACTTGCTGTAGACTTTGCTTGTACTGTGATCTATATATATATACCTGCATGCTTGCTCTGCTAAGTAGAGATCACTGTGCTGTTGTTGTTGCATATATACCTCTGCATGTGAACTGGCCTTGTGGCCCTTTGCTTGTGCTCAGTGTGTGTGGTGACGTTGTGATCCACCCTGAGCTTGCTTTGCTTCTCTTGACTGGTCTTGTGACCCCTTGCTCTCCCCCACTTTGCCTATGGGGATTTGTCAAAGTATATGCATGTTATATATGTGTAGGCTGTAGTGGGGTAGCCAATATGGGGTACAGCCCCTTTTAGGGTTTCATATTTGTACCCAATACTTTCATAGTTCAATCATTCCTGCTGCTAGATTATGACACGGTTAATGCGTTAGGATCCACAAGCCAGGAAACATAGGAGCTAGCATGGCGAGAGATATTGACGAGAGACATCAATCGAGGGTTGAGAAAAAAGAGGGGAATCACTAACTATAGATAAAGACAACCCCGTCAAAAAACATATAGATTTTTTTTTTTTACCAAAGTTTCCAAACCCATGCTTGATTCTCCCATCGTTTGTGCTTCCGGTTGTTCGCCCATATGCACCCCCCTTTTATGCACTAATAAATTCACCCGTTTAAGATGTCCATAGCATCCGTGACGGGCATATATATATATATGTATATATATATTTATGCCTGGTGTCAGGATATGCGAATCAAATTGGATGCCGACTGAAATCATACTCAATAAAGGGTATGAAACATAAAGCCATTCTGAATCCCACATGAAGTATAATGTTATTGGTATTTTATCAATGATAAATATATACCCTCCCAGGACGAGATTTATTGTTGTCCTTTCCTAGGGAGAAAGTTGGGGACATTCATCCTCAGTCGTGAACTGTATTCATAATGATCACAGCATTTCAATCGGCATGGTTCGTTGGAATGGAGTTTGGCCTACAGCACAAAGCGCCGCAACCATTCGCTAGTAGCCAATATCGACCCATATTTAATTATGATTACGGATCCTTTGCTGAGAAATCACTAGCTGGAGTGCAGCCTACTTGCACACTCCATTTCGACCAGCTACTGTGATTGGTCTTCCAAACTGCAGCATTTCTTTTGTGATATCATCGTTGAGTCGATTCCAGCCCTTTACGGGCAGATTATGGTGTCACGCAAATTCCAAACACCTTTGGCATTCCATACACCTTAGGAGGTACAGAAATTTTTAAGGTCTTTCTGTACAGTCCGGTCCGAGGTACACTTCTTTATGACCACTGTTACCGACCACCCCATCACGTGCCCATTTGGCTGAGTCGACGATTTGCGAGCCGGACCACTGAATTGCTCACTCCCACTTCCCAGCAACAGTGCGCTGATTACTGTGGATGCAGGTATCTGGTCATCAACCTTTTTCTCGCGCTGCCAGTTGCCCTCTTGAGCGGCCTTTGATTGGGTCGTTGAAGATAATGAATCCGCTGCCCGGTTGAGAAACAAGCTTTTGGACACAAGATATCAGACTCAAAATGATTTATGCTGTGTACAGGTTTCTGGAAGCATGCTTCTGTGGCTTCCGTTCCGGAGTGCGTCGAAAGGAGAATGGAAGCTGTGAAAGTGACACATACGCCGACTTCATTTTAGAATTTCAACAGAAGCCCTGGCTTGGAAGGTGGTGAAACTTTCTGGAAACACGATAAAGCGTTTTGCCGCCTATATCGAATATTTCCTCTCACTCAGCGCATGAAAAGATGCGTTTCTGGCCCATATGAAATCGTTCACGAAAGATTTTACGGGCACATCCAACCAGAATGATCATCATCTCCGGATTGCAATGTCCGCTGCATTAAATAGCGACGCAGAAATGATGGGTTTTCACGTGCTCCTTCCGCGCGTGCACGATGCTGCCGACGGTAGCGCATGGGCTCACTAGAGTTCATGCATGAACGCAGGCAAGGAAACAACACTTGCACCAAACCCCGCAGTAGGCACCGCTCTGCCCCACAGGAAGCGGGTTGGCATGGCTTGGGAGGGGAGGCGGGATGGGAGGGATTGAACCAGCTGGACAGTGGGCAGCTTCCACTTCCACTCCGCAAGGATTTCCAGAAGGATTTGGTTTGGCGAGGTGAGGCATGCTCAGGGGGGCGCGGATGGTCCCCCTTTCACACGGGGCTCGTGGCGGAGGCTGTGCTGGAGTGAGAAGATCTTGGTGTTGCCAAACGCAAGCAGCCCAGCATCCGCCAACGCCAAGCCATGTGAATGGGATCAAGGTGGGAGGGAAGGGAATGAAGGATTTGGTTTGGCGAGGTGAGGCATGCTCAGGGGGGCGCGGGTGGTTTCAACTCAAGCGCAAGCGGGGCGGAGTGTGACAAAGAGTCATCCTTTCGCGTGGGGGTTGCATCATAACGACCTAATGATAACCAGTGTGTGTCGTCTCGTGCTCGTAAAACCACCACCCGCAACTCGACCTTGCTTCTCTTCCCCATTTCCTAGACGTGCTGTGCTGGTTTGCGTTCCCCCAGCGATCGTCTTGTTACTCCCCCCTCCCCTTCGTCACAGCTCCCCCTTCGTTGCAATACGCCAAACCGCACCTCTTTGCACCCCGACATTCGTTACCAAACCACTCCAGCTGCGGTGGAAAGACCATGGTGAACCGTACTCAAACGTGACTCACCCATCCGAACAGTGGCTGTTCCTCCCACGTTCCCCTTCCACCGCCTTTTCCCCCACAACCTCAGGCCCCTGCAGGAGACTGAGAGAAACGGAAATCATACAGAACAGATTCCTCTTCACACATCCAATACAGTTCGCTACCTTGATATTTCAAAGCCCAGCTGCTTTGCCATTCATTCACCCTGTGGTATCTCCGTTCTCTCCTTCGCCCGCGGCTGGTTTTCTTCGACGACCTCCGAGTTCGTTAGGCAGTTTTTCTTGGCGAAATCGAAATACCGTTTCTTGCCTCAACACAAACCTCTCGCGTTTCACCATTTCTCTCCAACTGCATATCTTCGGTCCACCTCGACTTCAATGGCGTACTTTCAGCAGTCTTTAGAAAACGTCGCGTGCAGATTTCCTGGGCTCACATCAGACCCCTTCCAAGCGCCAAGGAGCGACGTGGACCTCGCCTTACCCGCTGACTCTCTCCTCACCTCCCCGCATTTCACGGACGACAGCGGCATGCAAGACTCGGCAACCGCAGCGGTTTTGCAGCAGGAGTCGCTTCTCCGTCGCCAGAGAATGGCCGCGTCGCTCTGCTCCGCGGGTTTCCCGTTCTCCTCCGCGCTCGCTTCGTCCCCCCTCTCGTGGCAATCCCGCCTCTCCAACCCCCTCCTCAACTCCTCCTTCCTGTCGTCTACCATTGACCCGCTCGGGCCGTCCGCGGCGCAGATGCAGCTTCTCGAGTCGATGGTCGCTGCGACGTCGCCGACCGGCAATGCGAACCTCCTCAACTCGTCGCTTCTCAACTCCTCGCTTCCCAACTCCTCCTTCCTCACTCATTTTACGCCCAGCGCCAAACGCGCCGCACCCGACGCTTCCGCGAGCGACGGCAAGACGCAACGGCCGCGGAAGCGCGGGCGTCCCTCGTACAAGGACCGCGCCGCGGCGGCTGCGGCTGCGGCTGCGGCTGCGGCTGCAGAGGCCGAAGCGAAGAAAGCCGCCGCAAGGGCGGCTCTGCGCGAGTCGGCGTTCGGAAGTGCCGGCCCTGATAGCGACCGCGTGACTTCCCTCGGCGGAACCGCGGCTTCCGCGAACACCTCCGTCCCTCAGCGCAAAATGCAGCGAATTCTCCCCCGCGCCGTCCCCATGCGCGCCCCGCTGGTCCCCGGCTTGACGCAAGTCCCTGATTCCGCGGCGTTGATGGCGGCGCTGCTCCCCCAGGCCACCTCCGACTTCTCCGTCGCTCTTCAGGCCGCACTCGAGCAAGCGCGCTGCCGCGCCGCGTTCGCCGAGGCGTTCGCCGCGTCCTCCGCCGTGGGGCCTTCGCTCGAGCAGCGCGCGCAGCTGTGGATGGTGCGACTCACCGCCGCTGGCGCCACTGGTGGGCTCCCCTCGGCCGCGCCCTCCGCAATTGACGCCGCACTTGCCGATCTGTCTCCGAACAATGTCTCAGTGAGCGAAGCGAAGCTCGCCGCAGCCGCCGCCGGGCTTCTCGCCGCGGAAGGCGGCGATCCCAAGGACGCACTTTTCAGCAAGCTCTCGCCGGCCTCGCGCCTCGACGAGTCCGCCTTGGAAGGAGCCGCGTCGCGACATGTCTCGGCTTCAGGCGCGAAGGAAGTCTCCCCGCCTGAAACTGGAGCCGCGGGAACAGGCGGCTCGTCGGTGACTGACGTTGCTGGGAATGGCGCAACTGCAATTGCTACTCCGCTGCCCGCAGGAGTGCTGGCCATTGATTGGATGTTCGGGAACGGGCCGTCCGACACAAAAGATTCGCGATTTTTGCTGCCCGAAACGGCAGCTGATTTGGAAGAGCATGGCGACGAGACGGCACCGTCCCCTCACTCTCAGGCCATGGGACAAGCCGCAGCAGAAAGGGCGGCGGCAGGGGCAGCAATGGCGGCAGCAGGAGCAGCAGGGAGCAGCAAGGGCCCTTCCACCACCTCCACCTTTTTCCGACGACAGCCGGCGGACTCGACCTCGTCCCCCCCGGCTGTTGTCGTGGCAGCAGCTTTCGAGCTGCTTGCAAAGAACATGGCCCCTCCTCTTGCTCCCCGGTCCTTCGCCTCCCTCCCTGCTGCAACTGCTTCTGCTGCTGTTGTTGGGCGCAGCGTCTCGGATGAGCCAAGCTCCATGGTGCCTGCTGTGCCGCAGATGCTTCGGCGTGTGAGTTCTTACGCTACAGCTGGTGCTGCTAGCGCTGCCAAGGGCGGCGACATGAGGAGTGTGATGATGATGGTGGACGAAGAGCTCAGGAGCCTGCGACAGGCTGGCGCTAGAGGCGCAGCTTTAACGACCGGATCCCAAGTGCAAGAAAAGGGGTTCAAGAACAGCAGTGCAGCTGCTAGTGCGTATTGTATTCCTGTGCCAGCGTACCTCGTTGTGCCTACTGGTGGTGCTGAGGACACTGTCGGGAATGGTCCTTGTGGAAAGGAGAGCAACGTGCCCATGGATCTCATGCCAATGGCTTCTGACTGCCACGTTTTGAACCAGGCTTCCTTGGATCTCACGCTGAAGCTGTGAGATTTGACAAACTCAGCCTCAGCCAAGTTTTTCCTTTTTTTTTTGATATTTTCTGACAGCCTTTTTTATTTTATCTATTGGGTGCTTGGCTGGCTGAATGTCGCCATGCCCAGGTAGATTTGCACATAATGTATCTGCCCACTTTTGTGAAATGTAGAATTGATACTTCTGTTATCGCTACTATTTGGAGCCACTTCAGTGGGAATAGTAAATTGTGGAATGCTGTAACAGATCACATGCGTGCAGGTGCGTTCCCCCCACACATAGTCAGCTTCAAACTAGAAAGTTTTTTAGGCTCTGAAACCTAGCCGAACCAAACCTTACCGAACCAAGCCCAGACGTACAGAGCAGCTTGATAGGCCAGCTCAACCTGACATGTCACGTTACAATATATGGTGCCAATCATAATCATTGGCACGCACTACGAATTTCAACCACAGATATTCACAATCACTGACATGGAGCAGTTCAGGTTGCACAGCTCACTCGAAGGCCAAGAACGGCCCACACTCACATTCAGATATTCACATTCATCGACAAGCCAGAAAGGTTACGCAAAACGTTTCGCCAGCAGAATTTTGCGAACCCTTCCTCATTCGTTACCACCACCCTGCTTTTCTGGGGTCTGGCTGAACATCAGTTTCCCACGGGAAGCAGAGGGAGCAGGGAAGCCTATCCAACTAGAGCCTGATCGCAGCAGCTTACCTTCAACGGTCAGTTAGGGTTTGCTGCCATTGGCTAACCAACCTACGGCAATCTGGCGGTTCCTTTAGCAACGTTTGAAAATGTCGGTTGGCGATCTTGCTTAGAAGTAATCTGAGTCGTTCCCTTGTTGCGTTACGATAATCCGACGGCTCTGTAGATCCATCCACACCGCATTTCAGAACCAACGGCCATTTCTCCCAGCGATAGCGTGTTGTCAGAATGTGATGTTTGTCTAGCCTGCAGTGGGGTACTTGTCAGAATCCCAACCACTAGACGATTGGGATAAAAGGGCTTGTTTCAGTAGCGGGTCAGTGCGCCCATAACCCTCCAGGCTAACTGTCAAACATATATTTATATGTTATAGTTTGGGTAGGCTTAGTGGGGTACTCACTGTGGGGTACAACCCCTTAGGTTTCCCTTTTGTACCAAACTCCTCGATAGTTGATTCATTCCCTTGCCTTAGTCTTGACATGGTATCTAGAGCAGGAGGTCTCTAGGACCTAAGAATCGGGCCCACCTAACTGTGTTACCACCTGCCTGCCTTGCCTACTGCCCGCGCGCGCCTCGGCTGCAGCGCGCGTCACTTTTTTTTTCCGCGCGCGCCTCGGTTTCTAGCGCGCGCGTCACTGTTTTTAGCGCGCGCCACTGCTGCAGCGCCGCTCGCCGGCCCGCGTCGCCCGCGCAGCCCGCGTAGAGCCCGCGCAGCCCGCCACCGCGCACAGCCCGCCGTCGCGTGCAGTTCGCCGTCGCCCTGCGTGCCGCGTCTGTCGCCAGTGCGGCCCGCCGCTGCGCCGCGCGTCGCGTAGGCCGCCTGCGCGGCCCGCTGCTGCTTAGCGCGCTGCTTTAGGAGCTCACGTGCGGCCGCTCCTGCCTGCTGTCTCCTGCCTGCTGCATGCTGCCTCTGTCATTGCTTGTGGCCTGGTGCCTGCTGCCTCTTGTCTGCTGCCTGCTGCCTCCTGCCTCTGCCTGCTGCCATTATGACGACGCCTAACGTTCTCGCGTTCGAGCCTGACGGTCGCCCCATAGAGTTCGCTGTGTGGTTAGATGATCTCCAACTGTTCCTTCTGATCGATGCCAGAGAGGGCGTTTCACTATTCGATTACGTGTCTGGCACTGCTGTTGCTCCTGCTGCCGATGCTCCTGCTCTCGAACGCTCGCAGTGGCAAACTCGCGATGCTGCTGCACGCCTAGCTATTAGGAACCATCTGCCGATTACTGAGCGCGCGCATTTCAGCCAGCACAAAACTGCTAAGACGCTGTACGACGCTGTAGTTGCGCGCTACTCCTCCCCGGCCACTGCAGCCATAGGTCGGCTCATGCTACCCTACCTGTTCCCCGACCTTTCCTCGTTCACCACTGCTGAGGACCTCATTTCCCACCTGCGCGCTACTGACACTCGCTTTCGTGCCGCCCTTTCAACCGAGTTCTGCGACGTAAACCCCCCCCCCCCCCATGTACTTCACTCTCTATTTCCTCGTCACTCGCCTCCCTGACACACTTAGCTCCGTCAGGGACCACTTCCTTGCGCTAGACCCCCCCACTCTCACCGTCGACGACTTCGAGAAGCACCTCCTTGCAGTAGAGAAGAACATCCTCGCTGTAGGTGCTGCTCGTGGCACTCCTCGCTCTCCCCTCTTTGAGGGGTGCTCCCCCTCCCCTCTCACCCCCTCCTACGCCTCTGCAGCTGCTGCTCACGACTACCTTGGTGCTGAGGAGGTCGGGGCTGCTTCCGCTCCTAGTGGGAAGCGTCGCAGCGGCAGGGGCGGCAAGGGTGGCAGGGGAGGTGGGGGTGGCGGTGGAGGTGGCGGTGGAGGTGGCGGCGGGGGAGGTGGAGGTGGTGGAGGCGGTCGTGGGGGTGGAGGTGGTGGAGGTGGTGGTGGGGGCAGCGGAGGCACTGGGAGCGGTGGAGGTGGCAGCAGCGGCGGTGGGGGACGAGGGAGCGGTGGTGGCAGTGGTGGTCAGGGCCACCAGCAGTCGCAGCAGCAGCAGCGTCAGCGCCAGACCCCCACTTCCCAGCAGCTTCTTGACTGGTATGCCGGGCGTGGGGCTTCTTGGGGTACTGGTCGCTGCCCCTATATCATTCGCACATGTCCCCGCACTGGTCGCCAGTGCACAGGGTTTCACACTGAGCAGCGCTGCTTCGCTCGGCTTAGCGACGCCTGGCGCGCCAAGTTTCCTGATGCTACTGAGTTCCCCAACTGGGCAGACCTGCTTAGGCGTGATGTACCTATATTTGATCTTGACTATGAGGCTATTCTTGCTGCCATGTATGCATTGACTGTTAGTGCTGAGGGTGACTGCTACTTGTGTGTGCCGCCTGACCCAGGTATAGCCCCAGGTATAGCGCCTGTGGCACTAGGTGCTTGTGAGTCTGCTCCCCCTGGTACTGCGTCCGCACAGGCCTTGCACACCTTCACACTTGACTCTGGTGCTTCCCGCTGCTTCTTTCGCGACAGCACCACAGTCACTCCCCTCCCTGCACCTGTTCCTGTCTCGCTGGCTGACCCCTCTGGGGGCCCAGTGCTTGCACAGTCTTCCACTGTGCTTCCGTGTCCAGCGGTCCCGTCTGGTGAGCTGTCTGGTCTCCACCTCCCCTCGTTCTCTAAGAACTTGGTGAGCAACGCCGTCCTTCAGGATCACTGGGTTGACACCTTTACTTCTGGAGGACAGCGTGTGGCGATCTGCACGTGCTCCCGGACCGGCCGTCACCTGGCCACGTTCACACGTGCGCCTGGGTCTAGTCTGTACACCCTCACCACTGCGTCACGCTACACCCCTTTGTCCCCCCAGCTGTACGCGTCTGCTCAGGTAGCTACCCAGTGTGAGTGTCGCCGCCTGTCGCACGACACTCTTCAGTGGCACCACCGCCTTGGTCACCCCTCCCTGCCTCGCCTTCGTAGCATGCACTCTCGCTACCTGGTCTCTGGCCTTCCTGAGTCTCTGCCTGCCCTCCCTCCCTCGCCTGCGCCGCCCTGCATTCCTTGCGTCGAGGGGCGGCAGCGCGCCGCTCCTCACTCCTCCTCGTTTCCTCCCACAGAGGCTCCCCTGCAGACTCTCCACATGGACGTGTGGGGCCCAGCCCGCGTCCGTGGACAGGGCCACGAGCGGTACTTCCTGCTGGTCGTCGACGACTACACGCGTTACACCACGGTCTTCCCCTTGCGCAGCAAGGGGGTGTCAGAATGTTATTATTGTCTAGCCTGCAGTGGGGTACTCCATAGTGAGTACAGCCCAATTAGGGTTTGCTATATGTATCCAACTGCTTGCTAGTGAAACCCCTCCTTTCTTCATTCTTGTTTCTCACTGCTACTTCTGACATGGTTTCAGAGCAGGTCGACCCCCTTGGGTCGATCCTGTGGGTGGGCCCACCACCTAACTGCTTCCGCTGCTGTTCTGCTTCTCGCGCGCCTCCGGCGCGCGCCGTCTTCTTCCTGCCGTGCGCTCGGGGCGCGCGGCGAGTTTCTGCCCGCCGTGCGCCCCGAGGCGCGCGACGGTTTTCTGCCGTGGGGGATCCGCGCGCGCCCCCCCCCCCGCCATCCCGTCGCCCGTCGCGACGCTCAGGGGGGCCGCGCGTCGCCCTGCCCGTCGCCCGTCGCGGCGCCCTGGGCTCTAGCGCGTCGACCCCCCCCCTCCCGTCGCCCGTCGCGGCGCCCTGGGGGGCCGCGCGTCGCCCCTCCCGTCGCCCGTCGCGGCGCCCTGGGGGGCCGCGCGTTCCCCCCTCCCGTCACTCGTCGAGGCGCCCTGGGGGGCCGCGCGTCGCCCCTCCCGTCACCCGTCGCGGCGCCCTGGGGGGCCGCGCTTCCCCCCCTCCCGTCACTCGTCGAGGCGCCCTGGGGGCCCGCGCGCCGCCCCGCTTCCGCTCACACACCGCCCCAGCTGCTTCCCCCGTTTTTGCCCTACGTTTGGGGGTATGGGGGTGGCACGTATGGGGGTGGCGGGTGTGTGATCCGTCCCCTACTCCTCCTCCTCCTCCGTCTCCCACTGCTGCAGCTGCCGCTGAGGGGGGTGGGTGTGTGGGAGCCGAGGGTTTAGGGGTTAAGGGGGGTGCCGTGGGAGTGGAGCTAGGGTTCAGCAGGGGGTGTGTGTCAAAGGTGTGGGTCAGTTGGAGGAGGTTGTGTGGAGGTAGCCGTCTTGTCGTCCGCAGCACCTGTAGTCCGGGGCGCTGTCCTGGTAGCCCAGAGAGCCTGCTGCGCCTGTCGCCCGTGGGTCCGTTGCTCTTGTAGCTCCTCGTAGCCCGTGAGCCAGTTACTCCAGTAGTCCGGGGCGCTGTCCCGGTAGCCACTGTGCCAGCAGCT